TTGCCCAGATAGCCCTGCCCCTCACGAACTTACTAAAAATGAAGGGAGCATCCTCAGTAAAACCTAGCCAGCCACTAACATGGACAATGGAGTGCCAAGTGGTGTTTGAGAGATTAAAGAGACTTTTTTCTGCCGAACCAGTACTGAGTCACCCAGACATGGATAAGCCCTTCGTAATACAGGCAGATGCAAGTGATGTGGCAGTGGGGGCTGTACTATTACAAGAAAACGATGAAGGGGTATTGCAACCCTGTGCGTATACATCCAAGAAACTCACCAAAATGGAACAGCACTGGCCCGTGTGGGAGAAAGAGGCATACGGGATACGTTGGTCATTACTCATGTGGCGCCAGTTCTTTGAAGGCAACAAAATCCCTTTCCAGGTGTGGACAGACCACAAAAATATGGAAGCCTTGAAAATACACAGGAAGCTCAACCCCAAGCAAGCCCGCTGGTCCCAGCATTTTCACCAATTCCACTTTATTCTCAAGCATTTGCCGGGGGAAAAAAACTTCAATATAACAGCATGCGAGCCACCGACTCCAAACCGATGATGGTAGAATCACAACTGGCAGCACCAGTAACCACCAGAGCCCAAGCTAAATTAAAACCACAGCTGGGCAGCCAAACCGGAATTGAATTCCAGAAAAGTTTGGAAACAGATGAATGGTTCCAGAAAAATAAACACGTGTGCACAATGAAAGAAGGGCTGCCTTGGGTGGGGGAAAAGTTATATATATCAACAACCCAAAGAGTCACATTCATGCCACTTTGCCACGACACAAAATCAGCAGCGAATTTTGGATTTGCAAAAACATTACACTTAATTAAATGGCAATTTTGGTGGCCATCCATGAAAAAGGACATAGAAAGGTACGTGGCCAGCTGCCCAAAGTGTGCAACTGCAAAGAGGTTGCAAGGGAAATCGCCCAGACTGTTACAAATAGTGGCATATCCCTCAGCCCCCTGGAGGGAAATAGCCATGGATTTTATAGTGGAATTACCAGAAAGCAATGGGAATAGTGTTATCTGGACGGTCACAGATTTGTTTTCCAAACAGGTGCACTTTATCCCTTGCCAAAAGATTCCCACTGCAAAAGCCTTATCAAAACCTTTCATCCAGCATATTTACAGATTGCATGGGGCACCCCAACGCATCATATCTGATAGGGGAGTGCAATTTACGTCTGCATTTGGAAGGAATTTTTATCCTTCTTAGGGACCACTCAGGGATTGACATCTAGCCATCATCCACAAGGAAATGGACAAGCAGAACATTCTAACTCAGTACTTGAGCAATATTTAAGATGCTTTATTAATTTCCAGCAAATGAATTGGACGGACCTACTCCCTTTCGCAGAAGTTGCTTACAATAATGCAGTCCACTCCAGCATAGGTTATACTCCTTTTCAAATACCTACCGGCCAAAGTTTCAACCCCATGCCAGAACTAACCCCAAACGAACCGGCGATCCCATCACTGAAAGAATGGATGGAACAATTACAAAACACCTGGCCAATAGTTAGAAAAGCACTAGATGAAGCTAGGCAGGCATACAAAGCACAAGCCGATAAAAAAAAGGGTTGAACCTACACCATTCATTATAGGAGAAATGGTGTACTTATCTACAAAATACCTAAAATCCCTACAACCCTGTAAAAAACTTGGACCAAAATATATAGGGCCTTTTCCAATTAAAAGAATCATAAACCCAGTAACAGTAGAATTAGAATTACCCAAAAATCTTAGGCAAATACACCCAATTTTTCATTGCAGTTTGCTGAAAAGAGAGCATCAGTCACCTTTACTGCCAAAAATCCACCCCCACCACCTCCAATCATGGTGGAAGGCGAACAACACTTCGAGATAAAGGAAATCCTTGATTCTAGGAGATATCATGGAGCAACTCAGTACCTAGTAGCATGGAAACACCTCCCTGCCTCACAAAACGAGTAGGTCCATAAACGTCATGTCAGAGCCCCGAAGCTATTAAAGAAGTTTCATACAGAGTATCCTAACAAACCAGAGTAACTTTTATACCTGTTTTGTTTTCTTTTCAGGTGGATCTCTCTTATTTTTAAGGGGGCAGGGTGTCAGAATCCAATTATATTTCATTTCTAGTTACCGACTATGGAAAACCCTAATTCTGCCCTCTCTGGATTCTGTCATACTACGAAGGGGAAGGGGGATGAGCAAAGGGGTTTTATGGCTCTCGGTTCCTTCATTAAAATTTCAAAGTGACTGAATGTGGATCTCACCAAGAGGACTGACCATAACAATACGGCCACAACCTTTCATCTACTACTCTCTGAAGTCTACCTTCTGCCGGCAGTGAGGAAAAGGGGGTGGAAATGTAACACCTGGGATTGTCACTGGAAGGACGGTGGGGTGAGGGATGCTTGGGAACACTTAAAACATGGATTGGTAGGGATTGGCCCCTCAGATCCTGTCTACAATGCCTGCAACCATCTTCTCTTAATAAAGATGCCTGTTGGAAGAGATATTCCAAGAGTTCTGTCTTCTTAAGATGTAAAGTGGAGTGGATCCTTACAGTAGGGTCCAATTGGCTTAGCCAGGTCTCCCTTTGTGGACCAAACTCTACCACTCCGCCTGTCAGTTTTTGGACAAAAAAAGATGTTTGGGAGGACTCTGGTTCCCTCACAGAGTATGGGCACCTCCTAACCAGGGAACACACCACTGTCACTTTACAAACCAAAAAGGGGTCCTGGAGGACCTGCCACCCCCAACGCAGCAGGTAAGGGCATTTCCTTCAACCTCCGGTCACTTTTCAGACTTAGGAGAATCTGGGAGGTCCTGCTTCTTCTTCCAAACTGCAGGTACGGGCACCTCCTGATCCGGGCTTTGTCACTGACTTCCCAGCTGGTTGTCCAAATCTCACTCACTTTTCCATTCCATTTTCACACAGCCTCTCTCTTTTCCCTAACAAAAGGTCCTATGCTCTGGCCAAACCCCCATGCTTTCCAGTGTCTGTCACTTGAACAGATCCTTTCTGCGGTTAGGAAAGGCCAGAGGGAGCAAGATCCAACTGTGATTGGGGAAAAGGTGTTCTCACTCACTCACACACACAGACATACACACATTTCCCTTACTCCCCTGGGCTTTAAAGTTAAAATTTAGAGGTACTCACCTTCTTTCCAAAGCAGCCTATGAGCTCAGACTCAAAACTCTCTTTTCTACCCCTGCTCCAAATGGGCAGGGTCTGGGAAACCCATCCATAGACACAAGGGATCTACTGTTAGCAAGATGAAGGCTTACTCAGTCCTGGTCCATTGGTGAGGTTAGCTTGAAGTCCCATCTTGGGTGCCAAAATGTTGAAAGAAACATCTTCATCAGGTCCAGTCCAAGCCGGGAATAGATATTAAAATGCCAGAAATATAAATGTGATATATAAAATGATGTCAAAACAGATCTACAAATGAAGTTTTAATCATTAAAGAGGATGAACAAATTAATAAATCAGAAGAGTGATTTGGAAAGCCTTCTTACTTTGGATTTACAAAACTAATGTGTGAAAACAGGGAAACTCTGAGAAGCGAAGAAACTCATCCAAGCTTCTTGGATGAGAAGCAAAATGTCTTCAAGAAAGAAAACAAGAAAACACCACTTTTCTTTTGAAAAAGCACCTTTGGGTCTCTCTGAGAAGAGATAAATAGGAACTCCTCAAGCTATTCCAGGGAGCAGACAAAGAGAAACTGATAAGAAATCAACTAGTGGGGCAGTACTTGATAGGACTAAAAGTGAAGCTTTTTTAAAATGAAAAGATTTATCAACTGAATCTGTTTGATCAAGATTAAAACATACATATTATACATATTAATGAGATTTGATTTTGACAAGATCTTATGCAAGGCTTTAAAGATTTTTTTATGAATGGGGAGAGATTGCTTCTGTTTTATCTTTGAGAAAATGGTAAATTTGATTATAAAATTGAATTCTTTGATTAAGATTCAAATATATGGTGGCACTTAGTAGACTTTTGCTAATTAGGCTTGAATATGTTTGACCTTATGACATCACTGCTCAAAGAAAATGTCATCAACTAGTAACAGCTGCTGTGGCTGGAGGATCTCTCATAGTAAAAAAGAAGGACTTTAAATTTGGAGGTTCACAATATGTGGTTTTTTAAAATAACTTCCAGAATAATAGTACAGAGATAGAATTGGAGTACTAACAAGACTTCTTCCTGAAGTTTGATCGGAATTCAAATATAAATTTTGGAGAAAAGGAGACTGTAAAATAAAGGATGCAAATTAATGCTGTATATGGCATCTCTTAAACTCCCCTTGATCTTGTGTTTTATTTTCACAAGATTCATGTTATGGGCAATAATGCTACTCAACTCTGTATTTAAATGTCATAAATACAATTGTCAAGTTTTAATTCAAGTGTATTATCACTTAATTACAGTTTGTTATGTAGTTGCGCAACTTTGTAAATAATTTATAAGAATTAAACCCTGTTAGATCTGTAGGACTTACTTCCAGATAAATTAGAATAGGAAGAGACCTTAAGACTATAACCCTATATTTTCTTACATGAGAACAATAGCCATTAAACACCTTGTCTGTTTGTTTGTTTGTTTGATTGATTGATATCAGTTTTTGTCCAGGAATTCAAAGTAATATATATAGCACTACAACTCTTATGAAGAGGTTCTGGACCGAGAAAGAGTGGATGACTCCAAATTAACCAGTGAGCTGTCAGAAGGAGGGCTTGGATCTGTAGATCAGGCATATGAGGAGTTGTACACATTTTTTCTAAATTAAAATATTATTACATCCTTTTCAATTTCTCTAATTTTAGGTTGGGGTTTTTTGTATTCTGTTAAAGTACTAAGTGTTCCAAGAATCAACATCTTGTGGATGCAGAACCTTTAAACAGAAGGCCCAGTTCTGTTGACACTGAAGTTGCCTCTTTGTGTGTGTGTGTCTGTGTCTGTGTCTCTCTGTGTGTGTTACTGGAAATTGCTGACTGCTCAGATGGATCGCCTGGAACTGCAGAAAGTCAACACAGAACTTGATGAGGAGAGCAACAGCAGAGACAGCATTGAAGACAATGACACAGATATGGTTGATTCAGAGAAGGCTACTATTAGCAGGTAGGAAGCAATGTAGTTGCAGAAAGTACAAAAGCAAAACATGTTAGAAAAGTAATACAATTTCACTGGAGAAAGTCAGATGATTAAATAATTAATATTGCTGAAAATGAAAATGCTTGCTTTTGCTTTTACTGTAAAAGGCAGCAGCTATATTTCTGGAAAGGAATTTTTCCCACCTATATATAAAAAGAAATCTGCAAATTTGCTTGCCCAGTTTAACATTTATTCTTAGTGTATTGCCCAACACTTTGTTTAATTTATTATTAATGTTTTCTCTGAGGATTCTCATTGCTCTCAAACTGATCACACATATAAGTTAATATTTGAAGTCACAGGAACCAGTGCTTATTTTCAAATGACTGTGTTTCCTTGAAACCTGTTTAATGATTTGAACAGTACATTTGATTTTAAACTATTAAGTGCTCTACTGCTGTGACTGTGTAATACAGGTAGTCCTTGACTTACAACCATTTATTTAGCAACTGTTTAAAGTTACATCTGCACTGAAAAAAGTGACTTATGACCAATCCTCACACTTATGACTGTTGCTGCATCCTCATGGTCAAGTGATCAAAATTTGGCCACTTGGCAACTGGCATGTATTTAGAATGGCTCAGCATCCCAGAGTCATGTAGTCACCATTTTCAACCTTTCCAGACAACTTCCAAAAAGCAGTCAATGGGTAAAGCATGTCAGGCACAAAGGATCAAGATTATACATAAAGTTGCAGCACAGAAGATTTAGTTAAGCTTTCACACAAGAATCTGGTCAATTAATGGTCAGCACTAAATTGGCACTAAATTCAAAGGAATTCAAGGGGGGCTGGACTTGGATCATTTGTGGCAACCTAAAGAGTCTAAGCTGATGACACATTTAACTCCACCCTCTCTGCCTGCTCTTCTACAAAGCCAGATCTGCTTAACGTCTATGAGATTCACTTAACAAAGGTTGTAAAATCAGGCATGATTCACTTAACAATCACCTTGTTTAGCAATGAAAATTTTGTTCCCAATTGTGGTCATAGATTGTGAACTACCTACATCTCATAATAATAATAATAATAATAATAATAATAATAATAATAATAATAATAATAATAATAATAATAATAATAATAATAATAATAATAATAATNCATCTAGTCCAACCCCCTGCTCAGGCAGGAAACCCTATACCATTTCGGACAAATGGCTGTCCAGTTTCTTCTTAAAAACTTCCAGTGTTGGCGCATTCACCACTTCTGGAGGCAGGTTGTTCCACTGGTTAATTGTTCTAACTGTCAGGAAGTTTCTCCTTAGTTCTAGGTTGCTTCTCTCTTTGGTTAGCTTCCACCCGTCCTTGTCCTGTCTTCAGGCACTTTGGAAAATAGCTTGACTCCCTCTTCTTTGTGGCAGCCCCTGAGATATTGGAACACTGCTATCATGTCCCCCCTCGTCCTTCTCTTTGTTAAACTAGACATATCCAATTCCAGCAACCGTTCCTTATATGTTTTAGCCTCCAGTCCCCTAATCATCTTTGTTGCTCTTCTCTGTACTCTTTCTAGAGTCTCAACATCTTTTTTACATCGTGGTGACCAAAACTGGATGCAGTATTCCAAGTGTGGCCTTACTAAGGCATTATAAAGTGGCATTAATACTTCACGTGATCTTGATTCTATCCCTCTGTTAATGCAGCCCAGCACCACGTTGGTTTTTTTGGCAGCTGCAGCACACTGCTGGCTCATATTTAAGTGATTGTCCAGTAGGACTCCGAGATCCCTCTCACAGTTACTACTATTGAGCAAGGTACCCCCTATACTATACCTGTACATTTGGTTTTTCTTGCCTAAATGTAGAACCTTAATTTTTTTCACCATTGAATTTCATTTTGTTAGATAGCACCCAGTGTTCAAGTCTGTCCAGATCCTCCTGTATCCTAAGCCTGTCTTCTGGAGTGTTGGCTATTCCTGCCAGCTTAGTGTCGTCTGCAAATTTGATGAGTTCCCCATCTATCCCCTCATCCAGATCATTGATGAAGATGTTGAAGAGCACTGGGCCCAGAACAGAGCCCTGGGGCACCCCACTACACACTTCCCTCCATGTAGATGCAGTTCTATTGAGGACCACATGCTGAGTACGGCCGGTCAGCCAGCTACGGATCCATCTGGTGGTGATGCTGTCTAACCCGCATTTTTCTATCTTCTCGAGTAGTAGGTTGTGGTCTACTTTGTCAAATGCCTTACTGAAGTCCAAGTATATTATATCCACAGCATTCCTCTGGTCCACTAATTTTGTCACTTAGTCAAAGAATGCAATAAGATTTGTCTGGCATGATCTGTTTTTGGCAAACCCGTGTTGGCTTTTAGTAATGACTTTGTTTGCCTGTAGGTGTTCGCTGATTCGTTGTTTGATTATCTTTTCCAGAATCTTCCCAGGTATTGAGGTCAGGCTGATAGGTCTGTAATTTCCTGTAATTTCCTGGGTCCTTTTTTCCCCCTTTTTTGAAGATGGGAACTACATCAGCTCTTTTCCAGTCCTCTGGTAGTTCCCCAGTGCTCCAGGATCTCTGAAAAATATAGTTCAGTGGTTCTGAGATTACATCTGCCAGTTCCTTGAGAACCTTGGGATGTAATCCATCTGGTCCTGGTGATTTGAACTCGTCTAGGCTGGAGAGGTGCTCACTTACCATTTTCTTGCCTATCTTTACTTGTATTTCTATTTTGTTTTTTATGGCACTATTTTTGATAGGTTGGTCTGTTTTTTCCCTTTGTGTAAAAACAGACCAAAGACAGATGCCAAAAACGAGTTAAATAGTTCTGCTTTCTCCCTGTTGCTTGTTACCTTCTTGCCACTTTCACCCACTAGTGGACCAATCGTTTCCTTCACTTTTTTCTTGTTTTTTACATGTTGAAAGAAGCTTTTTTTGTTATTTTTGACTTTGGTTGCAAGCCTTAGTTCATTTTGAGCCTTAGCTTTCCTCACTTCGTCTTTGCAGGCTATTTGCTGATATTCTGACTTAGTTATGTGTCCCTCTTTCCACTTTCTATACTTGTCCTTTTTATCTTTCAATTGATCAGAGAGTTCTTTATGCAGCCATGCTGGTTTCTTTTGAGAGCTGTTATTTTTC